CTCTCTAGGTGTAAGGAATAGAGTATAATAATTATCAACACAACACCATTTTTTCCAGTAAACCATAGATTTAAAATCTGGAGGGTAGCATGAGGAAAAAAAAAATAACAAGAACCCCCCGAAGGGGAAAAAAGGTGGAGGGATTGGGCCTATGGGCGGGTTCGGTTGGGCGTCCAGGAGTAAAAACGGCTGGAGTGGGTTGTTGTTGGGGGGGTGGGGAAGAGGGCGCGGTTGAGGACGGTGCACCAGGTGGGGACCGTTTTGCTGAGGGCGTCGGGCATGCCTGGGAGGGGGGTTAGGTAGGTGAGTGAGGAAAGTAAGGGGTCGGGGAGGGTAACAGATAAAAGGTGTGAAAAAAGAGGAAAGGATAAGCTGATGCGCTGAGAAGGTTACGTACGTTTTCCTCTGCGCGTCGAGTCGACTATGATGCATCTATGGGTGTTGTCAGTGGTTGTTTGTTTATTCATCCATATGAAGGCTTTGAATAGGGGCGGCTGCAACACGACAACAGAAAAAAGGACGGACGAAAACAGGTGACTTGGTTACACAAGATAAAACGACTACAAAACCAAACTTGACAAAGTAAACAAACCCTCACCCATCACTTTCCCCGATCAACTTCAACAAGTGAAAGTTCAGCCTCCTTGAACTAAACTTCCACTGCCCGGTATGCCCGTCCGTACTCTTAAAGTAAGCCGAGCCGGATTTCCGGGCGGGATCGATATACCAACTCCCGCATCGCTCGTTCGCCACGAGCGGTAGCTTCAGGGCATCGGCAACCTTCTCGACAAAGGCCGCGTCCTGGTTTATCGATGCAAGCCTGTTGGTGATGAAGTTGGACCGCTTGAGGTCGCCAAGGATGTGCGAGAAGTTCTGGCTAGCCTGTTCGGGGAAGATGATCTGGTCTAATGTCGGTGGTGGCATATTGGCACTTGCTCGTGAGGGTTGCGAGTTGTGATGGAAGCTTCTTTGAAATCTTGCCAAGGTACCGGATATCTCGATGTGGAAGAAAGTGGAGGTTGGAGACTTGTGGTTGGCGGTTAGGGCGGTTTTAGTGGGGGTACCTAACCCATACATAGGGCTGCCCGGGGATGACTTGCAGCGCCAGGCCCGGGCCGGGGCCCGACACCCGAAATGACGGAAATGGAGAGCGGGCCAATGGTGTTCACGAATATCCCTCAAGAAAGGAATGAGGATTCTCTTCGTCTCGCAACTTTCATCTGCCCACACAGTAATAACTATCGTGAGTTCATTGTAACCTGAGCTACGAAGTGCAGTCTTGGTATTGACATGTTGTCCCCCTTTGAGATAAAAAAGTTGGTTCGCTCATGTTAAAATTCTGCGCCAAGATCTTACTGCCGGCTGCAGTGATCTGACGCTGTAATTTGCTACCGGCTCGACAGGAAGGATTCAGCCATCCCGCAGCGGTTGGGGAGGACTCCAAGATGTCGGTATCCCGTCTCGGGGTTACATACGAAGTACCACGTTGCGTCTAGGGTTAACCAGGCAGCAGAAGCTCTGACTCGCTCGTGGTTTTCGGAAGGTTCCGGCAAGGGATGAATAACATTATCATCAGAAGAGGCCGGAAGGTCCAGTCCCCGAGAAGTAAAGGATTGTTTCCGTCATGGAGATCGCTAATCGTGTAATTGTATCGACTCTCATCGTGACCCCCATTGTTCCATCAGTCGAAGTCAAAGAAGCGGGACCGGTGAACAGCCACCGCACAGCACAGCCCAACTCCACAACAGGACCACAAGCTTCAAGCATGAGTCCGAAAAGGAGCTCTCGCAGGCTTGGCGTCGTCGGATCGCTTCAGGTTCTCTGTGGCTAACGTGAGAGAGAGCTTGACGCAGCTTGTCGACGTTGTAATGCTTCTCGGCTAGGAGGTCATTAGTAACCTTGATATCGAATGTTTTGTTGTTTGACAACGCATCGGCGATAACTGAGTGTGGGGCTTGGTAGGTGCACCGTTGGCCGCTTGCCGCGGGAAGGACTTCCGTGGGGCTGTTCCAGAATGCCTCCGCCGCTAAACCCCAAATCATCCCGCGCTTCTGGGGACTCACCGCCCTTCCCCTGCCGAAAGGAAGCACAGGATAACCTCAAGAATGTCACCCCCCGTCTCGAGTTTGTGGCGCAGCAGGTTCTGGACACTGAGGCCGCCGCCAAATGATGCCCATGAGAACTCGACTAGTCAACTAGACGCAATGCAGACTCAGAGCAAGACACTTTTGCGGGGAAGACTCGGGGAAAACGAGCCAAGATTGGATCGCTCGACTCACGACCTGGTAGCCCTGTCCATGAAACATGCTTGGCTTCCAGCGTCGCGACCGCAAAGCCAAAAATGCTCCGCCGCCGCGTTAAGCAGACAAAAATGCCCCGTTTAGGTATCAAGTTTCGATCCTGGCGACGGGACAACTTGTTCCCGTCCGCCGCGAGTCAAAAGCCACGCCGCCGTTCGGCCGGGGGGTGAGACGGCGATGGCCGACCCGAAGGGCCAGGGTGGGTGCCAGTCGCTTGGCAGGGCTGAGTTCGCGACTGCGAGAATCCCTCCGCCCATCTGCCTGGGGCAGCAAATGATGTCTTGCTGCTGGGTTGAAGGATGCTTCTGCGTCGATCGACCGCACGCGGGAGGCGGCGGGGATTTGGTCGGGTCTGTAACAAGGACCAATTAGCACGGCAGAACCGAGACGCAGATGGCCACCCCCAGATGCGGGCCACCTCGTAGGGCTGATGAGATGGAGGGGTATCGGTGTCCTCCAGAAGAACCATGCTGCGTGCGTCTCTTTTTGGACCCCGCAGATCCAGACTCCCGAGGACGGCCTCCTGTATTCTCCTGTAAGGGATTGCCTCGGTACCTAGGTCCTGGCGGGAAGGGCGAGCCATCGACGCGTGTTTCGCAGAGAGCGGCCTCGGGGGAGGTCAAGCCAGACAAGCAAGTGAGCGGCACATGGTGCTGTGTGTAACCACTGACAGCATCGAGGGCCGGAGTCAGCGGCCAGGCCAAGAAGGTGTGGTGGAAACCGGGGTAACGGTTCCGCGCACATCACGGCGGCTCCAGCAAATTACCAAGCTGCAAAATATACAAGGTGGGGAGTTGTGATCGCACAGTTGGAGGGGTCGTTACAAGACGTGGACGACTTTTGCGTCATTGCCGGTGATGGCTCACGGTCTACACCGGGTGGCGTTGCGGATTACCGCGGAGGCAAGCAATGTCTCTCTCCCAAGGCACCAAATACGAGATGCCTTCTTTTTTGTCTTAGTCGGGCCAGGAAAGAGTCATTTTGCCGAGTTTGCCTTTTAGTTTGGAGCCGCAAAGTTGGGCGGAGTTCACTCGCCTGACATTTTGTGGCCTTGATTTCTCGTGCGGCCTCTCCGTCCAGGACGGATACACCGTCCCAGACGAGACAAACTAACACACAGAGTGCAGCAGCCGCCAGTGAGAATCTCGGCAATCAACCACACCAACGTCAGCCAATCCGTGTGGCACCGTGCGGTCACCAGAAGTACGCAACGGCACACTTTTGGAGTGGTACTTTTACATGCTGGGTTCAGTTTTTATATTATCGCGCGGTTCGGCGACGGAAAAGACTGGAAAAAAAAGGTCTGAACCCCCAGGTTCTCAGCGCTAGTTACCGAGTCTGCAAAAATACTTTTTGTAGTGGTTTTCTTTGGCTCCCACCAATCTCACGATCGCATCCGAACAGCTTGGAAATCTGCATGTGCAGCCAGGGTGTGCCCAGACCCCTGCGCTAAAAGCGACCGGGGCCCTGGAAAAAGTGGGGGCACCCTCCCGTCACAGGGGACCAACAACTCGTGCTTAAGGCCAGCCTCGCCCCGGATCGGCCCTTTACGCCCCATGTCCCCATCCTCCGACGAGTTCCCCTCCATTACTGACTCGAGCTCCTAGCTGGATGACTGCTTCGGTTCTACCTGGCCTGACATTGATTGCTGAATTCAGATTCATTGTCTGACGACTCTCGACTTTCAACGCCCGCATACATCGTCCGAACCCTGTGCCGGGGAGCCACACCCACGTTTTTTTTTTTTTTTTTTTTTTTTTTTTCATCTCAACTTGCGGACGAACTCCCATTGTTGCCCACAAAGATACGGAATAGCCACGGAATAGTCACGGCGCAATTTGGTTGTGGGGTGAACTGTCGCGGGGTAGGATAGAGACAGAAAGCGTGCTGGTGTGCCGCAATTGAACCCCCGAGTATGGCGTCGACAACACGCGCAGCGCCGCCTCAAACCTCATCCGCCAATGGCTCTGGCGATGCTCCACCGCCGAGGACGAGGAAATCACTTCCAAAGGTAGGATTCTCGGGAACTATTTCAATATAGCTGCTAACAATTCTTTCAAGGTAAAAACGGGTTGTAGCAACTGCAAAAAGCGGAGAATCAAGTGCGACGAGCAAAGACCAGCTGTATGTCAAACCGCACGCCCTGGTTCTAGCAATTAACCAGCTGACACGTCGTGAACACTAGTGCCGCCGCTGTGTCCTTTCCGGAAAGATATGTTCTGGCTACCCACCCCCGCCTCGGAGCGCAAGGCCCTCGGAGGCGATTAAGATCGCACCAAAACCCCTCGTGGCCATGGCCGCGGGTGCGCCACCACCCAACCATGAGCCCGTCCAGCTGCCCCCGAGACGATTCGCGAAATACCAGCGACGCACCACCCCGCCGATGACGCCGAGTACGCCGAATCCCATGACCGTACTGTACCACCCCTCGATGGACCTCCCGTTCAGTGACCAGGAAGGCCAGTATTTCCACTTGTTCCGTGAGCATACAGCGAATGAGCTCTCTGGCTTCTTTGATTCGGCTTTCTGGACTCGGAGTGTTTTGCAGGAGTGCCATTCAGCAACAGCAATTCGCCATGCCGTCGTCGCGCTGGGCGCGTTATACAAGACCCTGGAAAAGTCGAACGAATCGCCGCCGACATCGCCGTACCCGGATAGAGACCCCGCTGATTCCGCAATACGGCACTGGGAGATGGCGTTTAGGCAGTACTCCAACGCTTGTAATGCGTTGGTGAAGACCGAGACGGCCGAGTCCACCTCGCACCGTACCAGGTTGATGGCAAGTGTCCTATTGGCCTGTTTCGATTCCTTCGTTGGCGACCACAGACAAGCCATTGTCCAGATCCAGACCGGGTTAGGGTTACTGGAACAGCTGCGTGCCGAGAGGAGGCGGGCCTTTCTCTCTTCATCCGACGAGCCCGTCGAGGAGGAGCTGACGCAGATGTTCACCCGGCTCGCGATTCAGGCCAAATCCTACGACATGGCCTTCCACTTTCCTCAACCCTGGGTCGTGCGCTTAACTGCGAGCCAGGGGCAAGACCCCGCCTCCCCTGCATCGGACGCCGCGTCGCCGATAAGCATCAACCAAGACCCCTTCCCGGACCGCTTCGCATCAGTCATGGAAGCCCGACTGGCCTGGGACAAGCTGTGCGAGCGCATCTTCCGCTTTACCGAAACTATGTTCGCCCACGCCCAGAACGGCGTCATGGGCGTCCTACCCACGTCCCTACAACACTATGGCATCTCCTTCAAGAAGGATATCGAGGCCTGGTCCCAAGCTTTCGATCACATTCTCGCGTCCAGGACAGCCCCCGGCGTAAGCAGCCAGGAGAAGGCCGCCATTGCGGTCCTTAAGATGTTCCAAATAATGAGCAAAATCCTCTTCCTCATGACCTTTAGCGACAGCGAGATGCATTTTGACAACTTCACCCCTTACTTCAAGGGTATCATCGACCTTGCGCTTGAGGTAGTCGGCGACGAGGAACGGAGAGCCGCGGCGAAGCGGTGCCCCGACCCCACATTCTGCCGTCACCAAGACCGTTGCGAGCCCGACATCTTTGGCGGTCACGAGTACGCCGCTCGCCACATCAAGCCCAGCTTTAGTGCCGACTTGGGTATTGTCCCGCCGCTGTATGTCGTCGCTACCAAGTGCCGCGAGCCGCACATTCGCCGGCAGGCCATCCAGCTGCTGCGAAGTAGTGCCCGAAGGGAGGGCATGTGGGACAGCGAGCTGACGGCCCGGATCGGCATCTGGATTGCCGAGACTGAGGAGGAGGACGTTGACCTGTTCAGTGGCGGCTACGGTAACAACATCCCCACGCCCGGTTCCAGCCCCGTCCAGACCCACTCCCACCCGACCACCGGCGGCGAGAGCCCTCAGTCACAAGCGCACTCGGAATACAGCAACGGCCGTTGGGAGAAGTCTGTGTCTCCCGGCGCGAGCTCAACCCGCACCTCTTTCTCCTCCGTCCGCTCCCCGGAACAGCAACGCAAGATGATACCCATCCCTGAAGAGAAGCGGGTTATGGTCAGAGCCGTCGAGTTCGATCTGCGGGAGCGTTCCGCCGTGATCCAGCTCGGGTCAAGGAACCTCAAGACAGGGACACCAGACCTGAAGACGAAAGTGACCAAGATTACGTGGTAGCGGCGAACCGTCACCATCCACCGTTCCGTTCTTTGTTGATATTGACTTTTATGCTTGAACATTTATTTTCTCATATACCCAAAGATGGTGGATACTAGTGTTAAAGACGAGGGCGGGCTGTATCGGGCCTGGATTCGCCTTTACGCCTTGTTTCCTGGATACACAAGAAATCAGCACTTGAGATTGCTTGAGTTTTAACAAACAGTGGCCTTTCGGCCCAAAACAACCTACACAACACAAAACTATAAAACGAGCTTGGATCTCGGTTGGGTAGCTTCACTTCTATATTTCTTCTTACCAGTGGTTGCGCACGCATGGCGCGCCAAAGTTGACAGCGAAGCTGGCGCGCGTCGTCTCTTCTCGGAACGGATCTGGAATCTGGGTAGAATGGAACGAGAGATGATGGAACAAAGGCGTGGGACGACGCGGGATGGCGTTGATATGGCGCGTTACCCATCCCATGCACTCTATGCACCACGAGTTGCCGCGCAAGGAAGAGAAGGGGCTTTGGACTCTGGAAAGAAAACCTTGTCAGGGAGCAATCCTCGGAAATGAACATAGTGTGTAATGGAAGTAAATAAAGCAATTCCTAGCCCCTTCATCAGCCGCTGCCTTGACTTGCCGTATCCTGGAGTCCTCTTCACTCACTTCGCCAACCTCTTAGCCCAGCCGAGCTAACCATATAAACATGGATCCAATGAGGCGCCAAATCGTCCTGATCATCACCAGGCCACATACCACCAAAACTAGCTCCGGGGCATGATACCAGTTAGACCACGAAGGGGCTCTTCGTAAGCGTTTATGTC